AATGCCTTGAAACAGGCTGAAGGGGCTTTTGAGCACTGTGCTTTTTTCTAGGAAAACCTGAAGTTTTATAGACTTGAAAAGACGTAACAACCTCAGGTTTGAGTGTCAGATTGTAGTTATGCTGTGTGTGATTTTCACACCCTGCTCACTTTCCCACGGGGGTAGAAAGTGCAGAAAGCTTACAATTTTTATAGGAAATGTAGTTAATGTTAATAAATTTATTTTCAGTTTTGAATAGGAAAAAAAAACACCAATAGGGAAGAGGAATGCTCTCATTCTGTTCTGTATCTCATTCAACTCATCTATTTAAAGTACACATGGAGGCTTCCGAAAAAGCTTAGAAAACCAGAGGTTACTTCCTGTCGCTCCATATTCTCTTTTCAAACACTATTTCTGGAACTCTTTACAGGTCCCAGAATTCCCAAAGTGGAAATAATAAACACTTACCTTAAATCTTAATCTCAAAAGCAAAGGCAATGAATACATGGATACCTTCTCTCTTTGGAATTCCTCTTTCCATCTGACCCCTGGAATGTTGCCTTGATCTTCAGGATCAGAGAGATGTTAATGACATATTTTCTTTCAGATTCAAGCAGTTCCAGAGCCACAGTCTGTCTTTTAGCTTTAGAACAAACCAAGGAAGGAATTGTTAACTACTTCTCCCCAAAACCCTATCAAATGATAAAAGCAATACAAAGATATTGAAAGCAATAAGCATATGAAAAGATGCTCAACATTGCCCAGCTGGTGTGGCTCGGTGGTTGAGCTTTGACTCATGAATCAGGATGTTAGGATTCCCAGTCAGGGCACATGCCTGGGTTTCAGGCTTAATCCTCAGTAGTGGTCTTGCAGGAGGCAGCCAATTGATTCTCTCTCATCATTGATGTTTCTCTCTCTCTCTCTCTCTTCCTCTCTGAAATCAATACAAATATATTTTGAAATATATTTTTTATTAATTTTTTTAAGGGAGAAGGGGAGAGAAACATCAATGATGAGAGAGAATCAATTGGCTGCCTCCTGCAAGACCACTACTGAGGATTAAGCCTGAAACCCAGGCATGTGCCCTGACTGGGACTCGAACCATGGCCTGCTGGTTCATGGGTGAATGCTCAACCCCTGAGCCACATTGGCCAGACAGTAAAAATACATATTTTTTAAATGAGTGGATACCCAGAATCAAGGTGATAGTCCCAGCTGGCCATTGTGACCTCTATAGGCTTTGGCTAGTTCATCTGGAAAGGAAATCACATACTAGGCAGTCTCATGTGGCCACTGAATCTAAATTACAAGTATTCTAGCCCTTCAGTCATCGTGTTCTTTAAAATTTCAGCCTGCATTCCCCCTTGGGGCTTACCAGCTAAAGAAGTTTCACATAAAACATTTTCCAAGGAACTATGTCTGCCCTGGCCAACTTCCTTGAGTTTATCTGGGTGGTCTTTTGTGACATATTCCTCGCCCCATTCTTTCCCGTCCTTTGGCTGCCTCCACACACTGGATGGCACATGGCCCTTAGACTGGATATCGGCTGTGAGGCAAGGCTTGAGGTTTTCTTCTGCTTCCGGAGTCGTTGGGTTCATTCCTGAAAAATAACACTTGCCATCAAGATCTGATTTTTTAAAAATTGTATTTGTTACTAATTCTTAAATATCATGCTCCTGGGATGGAATATTAACTAAGGATTAAAAGTCTCCACAGTTGCAAAGGATCACCTCTCTCTGCTTCTGGTCTATACAACTTCTACTCTTTATATGTAGTCTCTACTAAATAAGTTTTTAAAAATAAATTTATAAAATAATTTTAATTTGTATAGTATGTATAGACTCACACTGCTTCCTTTCAGGTGAGCACATCAAGTACCTGCAGCACCAGGAAGAAAGTACAGAAAGAAACGGAAAGGGCCAAAGACAGTGTCAGCTTTTGGAACTTGTCCACCTTGGCCCTGATGATGGTAAGTTGTAGAAAGGAAGGAGTAAGTGAGTGAGGAAAGATGAAATAAGTTATAAAATTTGGGTGACTTGTCTATTAAGTAAATAACTTTTTAATGAAGTAAACCAGTGATTTTCAACCAGTGTGCCACAAGAATTTTTAAAACATGCAATACCTGACCTCTTTTTCCATTAAATTGTTAAATAAAAAAAATTATAGTAGCCAACACAACAATAGCCAATCTGTGTGAATGAATAAAATTATATCTATTTTTTGTTAGGCAAAATATATTTTTTGGTGTACAGCAGAATTTTAATAGTTTGTGTGTGCCATGAGATGAAAAAGGTTGAAAATCGCTGAAGTAAACTGTAAAATGTGTGTTCATATACAACTATGTCATGCTACATACACCTGTGAGTTCTCAGTTAATGTTAACTCATCTGTACTGTAATTGAAAGGAGTCAGAAAGAATCAAAAATACTGGTTTGATCTTAAACTTCCCCACCCCTTCTCGGTTCTTGGGTTTAATTGAGTCACTGACCTACTCCAATACATGTCTCAGAATCTTAATAACCAGTATGCTTCATTTTGCCTGAGTTCTTTAATACTTGGTTTGGCACTGAGGGAGTAGAAGCAGGGGAGGTGAAAAAATGGAAAGGATGGAATTGCTAGAAGAAAAAAGAAGAGCCACTTACCAGGACCCATCATTCCCTTCACATTACTATCTCCTATATGCATGGATCTGGACTCTTGGGCTGCAGAGAAAGGAAAGCCTTCAATCAGTATTCATTCCACTAACATGGACTGGGCACCTTCTATGAGCTAGGGCTAGGCACTAGGGACAGACTCACAGAATTCACTGTTTTCTGGGGGAGACAGCAGTGGGAAAAAACAATATAATGTGACAAGTGTGATTTTTCCCATTTGTAAAAAGATGTAATAGTGGTACTTACCTCATAGGCTACCATAAGTATTAAATCAGTTAATATTTGTAAGCTGCTTAAAGTGGTACCTGACACACAGTAAGAGCTAAATTATTGCTTAACTGATGGTGAAGAGGGTAATGTGAGGAGTCAGAATGCTGCTGTTAAAATATGTCAGAGCCTGTCGTACCTCTGCTTCGCCCTCTGATGGCTTCCCATTTTAGTGCAAAAGCCAAAGACTGTATAATGGTTTTAAGACCCTAAAATATCTGCCCTTCTTCCCTGCCTGCTGTTCCTTTTCTTTTAAAAAGAAAAAAACTGCATCTCCTATTGGTAGTGGCTCTTCCCTTTCTTTCCCTCAGTATCATAACTAACTTCCTCACTTCCTTCTGGTCTTTTCCTGGTACACACTATAAAATTACACCTATGTTTCTTTATTTTCACTTTGTCACTATCTAACGTATTATGTATTTTATTTATCTTGTTCATTGTGTGTTTCCTTCAGAACCAATTCTCCATGAGGGCAGGAATTTTTGTTGTTCATTACTATATCCCATCATTTAAATCAATGCCTGGTGTGGATGAATGGATGGATGAATGGATAGAAGGAAGGATGAGTGGGTATAACCAACAGCTTGACTGCAACCTCAGCTTAGCTGAGCCAGAGGCACCCAGCTTAGCTGTGTATATATTCCTGACTCAGAGAAACTGTGACATAATGAATGTTTGCTATTTTAAGCTACTGAATTTGGGGGTACTGTATTATAACTAACAGTGGGTAAGTCAATCCTTTCTGAAAGTTTAGTCTTTTGATCTTGAGTTTAACATAACCTACCATCAATACATAATATCTTATGACATATTATCCCCAAACTTTTGCGGCAACTTGGTAGGATAAACTATGTTATATAAGCCATGCCTACACAACAGTGAAGGAAGGAGGAGTTGCCATTAAATAGCTCATTTAAATCCATCGTGACACTTTACAAATATAATTTCTAATCATGACACTTTACAAATATAATTTCTCTTGTGAAAATGTTCAGTTGCCCCAGACCTGGCATTGATCTGACCTCTACTTTCCAAGCCCCTCCTGTAATCTCCCCTAACAAGACCATCTTTTATGCCATGCTCTTCATGACATAGAGCAAAGAATATAGAGCCACCTACCATAAACCCACATCCCAGATGGATAAAGTGAGTTTTCCCAGGCTGCACCTATCCATCTCTAAAATAACTGCTCAAGTGGATAAAAAAATTTTAAAAAGAAAATCTGTACTTTAAAGTTTATACTGATTAAAAGCCATTTGATTTAGATTTTTAAATTCAGATATTCAAAACATATATTGCCATTGAATAGATGAGCCAAATTGTTCATGAAGCCAATTGAGGACTTTACAATTGGTTGAGAAGTCACTGAGCCTCTTTTGGAGACTTTCTACATACGACCAAAAGAAAAGAAAATTCACCTAAACATTGTTAATATCTACATTCATTCTCCTGTAGGTGCTTTGCTAGATTTTGTTGAGGATACCAAGAAGTATCAATCATTTTTTGTTTTGTTTCTTCTCCTGAGTTAAACACAGGTCCCTAACCGATGTCTGCGGACATCCCTTGGAATGCCAGTTTCTTCAGTACTGCCCAACTACAATTTCTATTATCTGTCCTAACATCTCTCAGGACAGGGATATGGCTGGTGACTGTTTCAGCCCACAGACAGCACCAGCTCTGGTTTTCCAGAAAAAGAGATGTACAGAGTTAGATTGCATGAGGGCACTGCCTGCAGTTAGGGTAGATATATCTTTCTCCTGTCAGTGAAACCTTTGCTGAAAAAGAAGCAGAACACAGTTTTATCCATGCTAAGAATATAGCTACTTTAAAATGTCTATGCAGAGACACAAGGATTGAGAAAGTGATATGGGAAATAAAACAATTCATTAGAGTAATTTTTTAAACATTTTCCTTCTTATGGTTGTACAACAAATTATCTCTGGTCCATTTGAAATTCAAAACACCCAGTATTTTCCCAAAAAAGAAAACATTTTTAAATTAGGCAGGCTCTCCTGATTTCTCAGATCCTCTGGATTCTTTTAAATTCCAGATGCAAGAGGGAAAATTCTGAGCAATACACCATTTTCCTCTAACAAGGATGAAGGCTTTAGGCCCATTCTGATGATTACTTAAGCCCTCAGAATCAAGGAAAAAATTCGTGGCTAATTCAATATGATTTATGAGCTGTACCTTTTTCATAGGCCTGAGAAGGCAAGAGGTTTGTGAAGTCTTCATTTGGAAGAACAGGCTCAGGGATATTGATTGAACGGAAAGGACTTCCTTGTGCTTGAGCAGGCCCAGCCTGTGAGCCATGCTCTTCTTTTTGAGTTTTCCTAGGAAAGGGAAGCAAAAGGTCTTAATACCTGGTGGGTTCAGAAGAGATTCAGTTCAGAATAATTCAAGAAAATTTCTAAGTTATTGTATTGAACCATATAAAATTAACCATGGTCAAACACTAACAATTTATCACCAAAGTTGAAGAAAAAATTTTAAATATCTATAAATCACCTAATTGTAATATCTACATTCTTATTTCTCTGTTACTGACTTTATAGAGTTTGCAGTGGTGACAATTTGCTTAGAATGATTTACATTCATTTAACAAAGCAACACAATGGAACCAGGAGACAGAAGGTCTTCAGTTGAAAACAATTAGCCATTCTCCAGAGCCACACAGATGTTATTGCCATATTTCTAGTTTAAATTTGATGCTATTAAAAACATCCTATATAATAAAACCCTAATATGCAAATCGACCAAACGACGGAACGACCGGTCGCTATGAAACGCACTGACCACCAGGGGGCAGACACTCAATGCAGGAGCTGCCTCCTGGTGGTCAGTGTGCTCCCCTGTGGCACTTGGTAGGCTGGGCTCACAGCTGGCGAGTGCAGCGGCAATGGCAGGCGCCTCTCCTGTCTCCATGGCACCACTAAGCACCCCTTGGGGGGGTCCCGGACTGCGAGAGGGTGCAGGCCAGGCTGAGGGACACCCCCTCCCTCCCCCAGTGCACAAATATCTGCACCCCAGCCGCATGGAGGGAGGGGAGGGGCCTCGGGCTGAAGGCCGGGGCGAGGGATGCTGAGCTCACGGCGATGCGAGCCCAGCATCCGTGCCCCAGCCACACAGAGGGGCCTCAGGCCAGAGGGCGGGGTGAGGAACACTGGCATTGTTGCAGGCCAGGTTGAGGGACCCCCATCTCTGTGCACAAATTTCATGTACCAGGCCTCTAGTCTATATATGTAAAAGGCTAATATGCAAAGTGTCCCCGCGGAAGTTTGACTGGGAGACCATGAGTTCTATTCCTCACTATGACATGTGATGACCATCAGGGGGTAGCACGGAATGAAGGAAGGCCCCGGCCGGTAGCCGGCAGCCAGGGAAGGGAGGCCCTGGCCGGCAACTGGAGGACCCCAATCGGCCCTGATTGGCCCTGATCGCCAGCCAGGCCGAGGGACCCTACCTGTGTATGAATTTTGTGCACCGGACCTCTAGTTGTTTAATATAAACTTATTTTCCATGGTAGAAGAAAATAATAGCATTAGAGAAATTTTAGAAAACTAATATAAAAAGAAAATCACTGGTGATGCTCCCATCTTAACACAACAATCGTTATTTTAAAATATGTCTTGCCTGGCCTACATGGCTCAGTGGTTTACTGTTGAACTATGAACCAGGAGGTCATGGTTTGAGTCCTAGTCAGAGCACATACCTGGGTTGTGGGCTCAAGCTCCAGTGTGGGGCATGCAGGAGGCAGCAATCAATGATTCTCTCTCATCATTGATGTTTCTATCTCTCTCTCCCTCTCCCTTCCTCTCTGAAATCAATAAAATATATTTTAAAAAATATCTTTTTAGCTGTTATTTTACAGTTGAAATCAAATACTACATGCCATTTTATACCATTTTCATTTTACTGCCTATTAAGTGCATTTCCATTTAATAGTTAATATCAATTCTTAGTATTAACCAACTTTTATGGCTCTGTAACCTATCAGATGCTGACCCATAGATCCCAGTGGCCAGCTAGCTATATACTGATAGTGAGGAAGGTGTTCTTGGTGTCTCTGTAAAGTCATCACTTACGGCTTTGCCTTTGGTCAATTTTTTGTAGAAAACTCACTTGGCTTTCACTTTTCGAGATTCTCTTCGCTTCTCCTGTTGAAGCTGTTCAATTTTCTGTTGCATCTCTTCTTGTTTGGAAGTGATTGCCTGGATCATTGACATGGCATTGCTCAGCTCTTCCTAAAAAGTAAGCATCAGTATGCATTTAATCTGGCATATGGGCTAAAAAATATATAACATAGTATCTAGTATACAGTAAGCTTTTAATACATATTTGTTGAATGAATGAATGAATCGGTGGATGAGAGATGAAAATTTTACTTCTGTGGCCTCTAATTTTAACACAAAGTTCCAAAAAAGAAAAGCCTAAAATATATATTTTTCCATGATAATTAGTGAATGGGACAGAGGAAATATTCTTCTATTTGGCTGCTATGTGAAAAGGTAAGTTTTCTTCTTGTGTAACCAAGACCAAGGATCTTTCTTCAGCAGTGAAATAGAAGAGGGGGGCCTACTTTGAAATAGTTTAATGAATTCTTCATCTCAGTAACTTTTTCTTCCATGGAACATTTGCAGGTCTTAACCTTTTCTTCCAAAGCATATTCTCCATGTTGAATTCTTGACAGTTCTTGCATTGCTTCTGTGAAACCAGTTTTGAGTTCAGAGGCCAGGGCCTGCAACTAAATAATACACAAAGAGTGAATTCAGTTTACTATAAAGAATTATAAACAGCACCATTGACCTTTTGAATTTTTCTTTTTGTTTGAGAAACCAGGCTCTTGAAAATTTACAGACCACATTTCCTGTTAAACTAAAGTTTGGACAACTTAAGGCAATCTTGGCCCCATGCATCTAGGGCAGGGATGGGGAACGTGTGGTCCGCAAGCCATATGAGGCCTTTGAAATCATTTTGTCTGGCCCTACCAAGACATTAGGGGTGAGTTAATTAAATGTTTGACCAAATATAGCAGGCTAATTTTTAAGTTCATAATTTTGTATGCTCCACAAGTTATGTTATAAATATCCAAATGACCCTTGGCAGAAAAAAGATTTCCCACCCCTGATCTAGGGAAAAGAAGGTCTTTTTTATACAGCACATGCTTCTGCTTGATAGTGACAAGAAAGCATGCAAATAATTAATTTTACAAGTGCACCTATAAGCTACTTATATATTCTAACACCTTTGATTAAAATGAGATTTACTTAAGCCCAGCCAGTGTGGTTCAGTGGTTGAGCGTTGACCTATGAACCAGGAGGTTGCTGTTCAATTCCTGGTAAGGGCACATGCCTGGGTTGAGGGCTGAATCCCCAGTGGGGGGCGTGCAGGAAGCAGCCAGTCAGTGATTCTCATCACTGATATTTCTATCTCTCTCTCCCTCTCTGAAATCAATAAAAAAATATATTTTTTTAAAAATAAGATTTACTTGAAAAACAACATAAGCATGTGAAAAACAGTCTTGGTCCTGTAACTCTTCGAATTCCATGAGAAAAAGGATAGGTCATATCCTGGTTGTTAGAAGAGGAAGAAATTTAGTTATTTCCTTAAAAAATTAAATGATAAAAAAGGGTGATAACTAAACATATCTGAGAATTTCTTTAAAACGGAAGACTTTTTTTTAATTCTTGAGTGATAGCATGAAAAAGGAAATAATAGTATTTTCAGGGGCAGTTGTTGATAGTGATATAATTCATCTTCTGCAGTCAAGTCTGGTCATATTGCAGTGCACACATTGGACTTCTTATTGTCAACTTCCACACATGAAAAGGGGATCAATATTGGAGTCAGATAGGGTACAAATCTTAGCACTTTCCCACAAGTACTAAGATCTTATGCAAGTTGGTTAACCTCTTTGTAGCAGTTTCCTCATCCATAAAATAACCATCACAACACCTGTTTCACAAGGCTGTTTTGATACTAAAATGAATAAATGTAGGTAAGGTGCCTGTCCTAGTACATGCTAGGTACATTGAAGGTGTTTAAGGAATTTTAATTCTCCCTTAAGTGGCAAATCAAAAAGTTAAGCACAGATAAGATCAGGCGTGTTTAGGGTGGTATGGACCTGGAAAGTATTATGCTAAGTAAAATACTGTAAGCCAGTCAGAGAAACACAAGTATCACATGTCTAATGAACAAAATAAACTGATGGTCAAAATAGATCCAGAGACATAGAAGCATGGAACAGACTGTTGAATCTCAGAGGGAAGGCGGACGTGGGTGGTAAGTGGGGAGAGATCATCCAAAGAACTTGTATGCATATATGCATAACCCATGGACACAGACAATAGTGTGGTAAAGGCCTCGGGTGAGAGGTGAGAGCTGGTTGAAGGGGTCAATGGGGAAAAAAGGAGGACATATATACTTTCAACAATTAATTGTTTGTTTTAAGTTAAGCACAAACAAGTGTGGAGAAAATGGAGCACTTCTAAAATTGAGTTTTATTTATTGAACAAATGAAAAAGCATTTCCAAAGTTCCTGATGAAGAAACACAACTGAGATTTTTTTTCAGTGATAAAATCTGCATATTTGTATTTCAAACAATGTAGCTAAAACTTGATGTAAATTCCTCCTTTTTTCCTTTTTTGGCTAAATGAATATCATTTATTCAGTATGAACTCTTTGTTCCGTGTGTTAAGAGTAAATGTACATTAAATCTTGGTTAAAAAATAAGCATTTCCAACAGACAATAACTTAATAACAATAAGATAACATTACTTTCTTGACATGTATAATCTTATACTCTGCTAAGTAGAGGAACTCTTAGCTCCAGATCTCTCTGTAAAACAGACTTTTTTTAGAAGATTTGTTCTATAATTAAGATAGCCACCAAGTATTCTAACTTTATTTTTTTAACATATTTTTTATTGACTTCAGGGAGGAAGGGAGAGGGAGAGAGAGATAGAAACATCCGTGATGAAGGAGAATCATTGATTGGCTGCCTCCTGCATGCCCCCTACTAGGGGTTGAGCCCGCAACCTGGGCATGTGCCCTTAACCAGAATTGAACCCAGGACCCTTCAGTCTGCAGGCCGATGCTCTATCCACTGAGCCAAACCAGGTAGGGCAAGTATTCTAATTTTAAAGGTACATGAACAAAATTCCTTCAAATGTGTATTTCTAAACATTTTAGAATCTGGTTGTCTAAATGGTTCCAACTTGCACTTCCCACAATAAACTGACTTAGTTATAAGTACACCACTTTTTTAAAGTATAGCATTTTGTGGTTCACAAAGGTTTCTTTCGAGGGCTGGGAGTAGGGAAAAATGAGAGGAATCAAAGAGATCATTCAGAGAGAAAAAAGCCAGACCTGTCGAGTGTTTGGGAAACAACATGAGCAATCTGCTTTTTATTCCAATCATTTAAATTTTATTTAATCTTTGTGATGGATTTTAGCACATGTCCTAATGCAGTCATCATGATGTATTAAATCTCCAGATCAACTAGTTTTGATCTGGTAATTCTCATTATGTAAATTCATCTGTGAGCAAAATAAGCAAAATCTGCAGCTATATAATATCAAACAAAATGTATGCAGGTTTTAAAACTGAAAGAAGGAAACCTAGCATTCATGCAGGTGCTCTGAAATTCACTCAGGTGTCCTGCTTGAAAAACAGAGGGAACCAGTATCTGACAGAAATAGGTTTCATGATCACTACTCTCGTAGGTGGATTCATAGAGTTTCCCCAGGACCCAAAAGACAACAGAAGGATTTCTCCTCACCTGTAGAACCCCAGCTCTCGAAAAATTAAAAACTATCAAAATTTTTCTCTGACAGGTTATATAGGGACTTTGGGATTTTTGAAACCATTTTGAGCTGTGAGCCATTTTCCTTCACATATATTACTTTGAGCCCATTGGGTACCTGTCACTGAAGCAGCACTATTGCTTTAAATATAGTTTCACAACCAGTGACCAGCCAGGGAGTGATGCCATAGTGAGCGCAGTCACACCCCTGACACAGCCTGTCCCTTTTAGGATGCGTGGGCCCTTGGTATCTTTAGTTGCTACCGACTGGTTTTCCAGGGCCAACTGGCCATTTATTTGTGAATAAAAAATACTCTGAAGACATGGACTTATATCTTTTACTCTGCTCTCTCTTCAGCTTTCTTACTTGACAGCCCTCAGCCCACCCCAAGATTTAGAAATGAGTGTCTACCTTGTTCTCCAGCGAGTTGAACACGTTGCTCATCTCGTTGATTTTTTCATGAAGCTGCTCTAGAGAGGTTATGATCCCTCCATCCTGCCGCTGAAGGCGGGCTCCCACTGGAGTCAGGTTCAGGGAAGACTTGTACTTCGAAGCCTAGGGTACCACAGAGGGCATCTTAGGCTTAAAGAAATAGGGGAGAGGAGTCCGAATTCTTTCTATTTCCTGCTCTTAATTTCTGTTTCTCAGTTTTCTTTATTTTCTTGGCTTAACTCTTGCTGTTGTGTGTGTGTTTTAACTCTTCCTAAGATGAGTTTTAGTCAACATCTTCCAGTTTCTTTTCCACCAAAGATCCATCAAACTAAATTTTCATAAAGTATACACATTGTTCCAGTCTGTGTTTTTTTACACAGACTTCTCCTTCCTTTCTGTCCCATTATCAAGTTCAGAAGGCTACTATGAGGCAAATTCAGGGGATTGGGCCTGTGCCTTGAGAACCCTGAGAACTCAGGAATGTCAACATTTGGCAAACTTCTTCAAGACATGCCAAATTCCTACACCACCTGACTTAGTGCTCTATAAGAGCAAAAGCCAGGGTGTTTTGAAGTAGCTCATGATGGCAAGGATGCCAAGATAATTGTTTTGGCGTCCCCTTAACCAGGATTGCTACAGAAGAAACATGGTCTTTCTGCCAGTTTCTGTCTCCCTAATTTTAGGCTTCTTTATTGATCCCCAGAAATGCGATGATTTAAAACACAAAGTGGGGCCCGGCCGGCATGGCTTAGTGGTAGAGCATTGACCTATGAACCAGGTCACAGTTCAGTTCCTGGTCAGGGCACATGCCTGGGTTGCAGGCTCAGTCCCCAGCGTGGTGTGTGCAGGATGCAGCCGATAAATGATTCTCACATTGATGTTTCTCTCTCTCTCTCCCTCTCCCTTCCTCTCTGAAATCAATAAAAATATATTTTTAAAAAAACAAAACACAAAGTGGGGAGCAAGTCAAGAGTAAATTTCCCACTATGATCTTTTCAGGCTCATCTGAATGTCAATTTTTCATAATAAAAAAATCATTATTTAAAAAAAAGAGAGTAAATTTCCCAAATCTACTTCTCTATACTCCCTGCAGAAGTTGACCCTTAAAGTCATTACAGGGCACTATTGAAACTGACATGAAGCCGGGTATGCCGGAAATTGATCTTACTGATCCCTGGGTGCCTAATAGAGTTAACTTCTCTCGGGTTAGAAGATATTCCTCAAAGGTAAAAAGAGACAGACTCAAACAGGGCTTATAAATCCTATAAAACTTTCAATGGCAGCTTAAATAATAAAACCTATTATTGTAGGACTGGTTCCCATAGTTTTTCAATTGGAGGTTCTTTTGGCACATAATTCATTTTCTTAAATTATTTTCATTACAGAGAAAAAGAAAAAAAAAGAATCACCCCAAATCTCATTACTTCAATATAACCATTCATGTTTAGGCATATTTCCTTCTGTTTTGTTCAATGCATTTGAATGCAGATATTTATATGGTTGAAATCACACTACAGATATATTTTGATTCTGCCCCCTTCTTTTTGATTAACATTCTTATAAACCCCTTCCCATATCCTTCATTTTTTAAATGTCTATTTTTAATGACTACATAATATTCCATCCTATGTTATGGCAGAGTTTAGCTACCCATTTATCCTTGTTGGAAGTTTATGTTGTTTGTAACTTTTCAATATTATAAATAATGCTGACATATGCTTTTTATTTAAAGCTTTGTGTGTATTTTAGATTGTTCCTTTAGGATAAATTTCTAAATATAAAATTACTATGAGTTAAAGGATGTTAGGTCATATTTGACCCAAAGGGAAATTTAGTTTTGGAAAGAGATAGTATATTCAATTAATACATATACAAAACATATTTGACCAGAGGATTTGAAAGTTCTAATAATATGGTTGTATATTCTTGGAAACATTCTGTATCATATGTAATATCCTAAATTAGTATATTTAGAAAAACATGTCTCAAATAAGATAAGAAACATAATATAAATGGAGGAAGTTGCAGTGTTTACATTCCTAAGGTTTCAAGTGAGCCAAAAACATGTCAAAGTTCAAATCATTAATGTGATGGTTGCGCTAGGACTAAATTGTGCAGTTAAGACATCTGTTACCTTAACTGTGGAACCACCCCCACCACTTCTCATGTTAATGTAATCATAATTTAAAAATCCATATGCAAAATGAAGTAATCAAGAGTGAAGCAACACAATCTGATTCTGAAAAAGAGATAGTGGTGGATTTAGAGAGAGCTACATACAATGGACAAAGGATGAGAAGAAAAGGAAATAGATCTGAGTTCAATTAAAAAGAAATATACTGAGCCAAGAAGCTGTCAGTATATCCACACTAACTCATCTGACCTGGCAGTAATTCTGCCTGAAATGAACTGGGAGATGGTAGTGCACATTCTGTGACATGATTTGGGTCTCTGTATCTCTTACTCTTATCAAGGAGGTCAAGTCCTTCCAAAAAACAAAGAGCCAACTGAGGTATGACCATTTTAACATTTTTACTACATTTTAACTAATAATTTTCATTGAAGTTTCTGCCAACTTACGCACACTCATCAAAACTAAATATTATGTCCTTAGCTGGTTTGGTTCAGTGGATAGAGTGTTGGTCTGAGGACTGAAGGGTCCTGGGTTCGATTCCAAGGGCACATGCCAGGTTGTGGGCTCGATCCCCAACAGGGGGTGTGCAGGAGACAGCTGATCAATGATTATCTGTCATCATTGATGTTTCTATCTCTACCTCTCCCTTCCTCTCTGAAATCAATAAAAAAATTTTTTTGAAATATTATTATTTTATTATTTTCTAATTAGTAAAACAATAATACTCCTTGTTTTAATCACTGTTTCTTTGAGCTTCAACCTATTCAATTAGACGTTTATAATTTTACCTTGATAAATTGTGTCCTTTGCCTACATTCTACTGAGGTCTCAGAAGTTTTCTTTTTTATTAATTTCTATGAATATATAAATACTACAAAGGGTTAATAGTAGGGATTTTCCAATGTTTTTATTTTCCTTTGAATTTTTAAAAAATATATTTATGTTGGGAAAAATTTTAGTTGTGATGTGGATGAACTCTAAACCCTTTCCATTGTGATTTCTTCTAGTGCTTTTTCACTTAAATATTTCACATCCAGAAACAAATATTCACTAATGCTAAACTTTTATGGTTTTAGTAGAGGCCCGTTGCACAAAGATTCACGCAATAGGCCTTCCTTCTCCTGGCGGCCAGCACTGGTTTTCCTTCAGCACCTGGGACCCAAGCCTTTGGTCCAGCCACAGCTGAGAAGCCAAGCGGCCACAGCAAGGCTTCAGTCTTCAGTCTTCACTCCAACCAGAGCCTTCAGTCTTCGCTCCACGCCTGCATATGCAAATTAACCACCATCTTTGTTAGGTTAATTTGCATAGTTACTCTGATTAGCTGGTGGGCATAGTGGAGTGACACCAATTTGCATGTTTCTCTTTTATTAGTGTAGATTTTTATATTTAACCCATTAAACACTTTAGAGTTTATTTTGATTAGGGTATGAAGTGAGGATCTATTCTTTTTTTCCATAGAACCAGACAATTTCCAAACACCATTTGGTACCAGACTGAATGACTGCATTAGACCTCTTGGCTCCAAGCAATATACACATTTTTCAGATATTCATTAATTCATTCAGCTATTATTTATTGAATATATTTTATATTCCAGGTACTGTACTTAATGCTGAGAATACAACAGAAATCAAAATGTACTAAATCCTGCCCTTGGAGCTTACATTCTAGAAAGAGATAGACAACAAAAAAAACAAGTTAATATTTACTATAATGTAAGAATGGAGGGCTCTATCAAGAAAATTAAATAAGTAATGGAAATGCCATGTTGTGCTTCAAATTTCACATTTTGCGCTCCCATTTTAGTGTAGATTGTATTCTATTACAGGTAACCTTGCCCTACTCCCCTCCTTCCTCTTCCTCTTCTTTCTTAACTTCTCCATCTTCTCTTGGTTAAATGTTGCTTGGAGTAAGCAAATTGGGGCTTAGAAAGCATTCTTTTAAAACAAGAATGGGGTTATAATCACAGCATCATAGAGGTCATATAGACCAACTTCACTTCCACTGCTTCATTTGTTCCACTGTGAACAGATGCACTTGGATTTGTGATACAATAAGAGAATGAGGCCACCCCTACGGCTATATTTAGCCAACATTCAGGGAGTGACCTACATAGAATCTGTGATAGACTTTAAATCATACCTGAGTTTAAAGAGATACTCACATTCATTCAAATTCCATACACAAGTCAGACATTAACAGAGGGAGGTGGGCAGGGAAGGTTTTGGACAAGTGAGGCATCAAATCAGCATTGAGTGAAGGCTCATTTCCAGGCCTTTGTTCAAGCTAGTCCCTCTGCCTAAAATATCCTTCCCCAAATCCACTTACCAAATTATAAACTTGTCCCCTGGTTTACATCCTTCAGTCAATATTAACTCATCCTTCCCCCATATCTCATAGAATTTTACCAGTGCTTCAGTTGTAATCCTTCCAACAGTCTATCTTGTATGTATTTACCAGGACGCTTAAAAATCAGTGAGAATGGCCCTAGCCAATTTGGCTCAATGGATAGAGTGTCAGCCTGCAGACCAAAGAGTCTCAGGTTTGATTCCAGTCAAGGGTCCGTCCCTCAGTTGTAGGCTTCTCCTTGGCCTGGGCCCTGGTTGGGGAGGGCGTGCATGAAGCAACCAATCAATGTGTTTCTCTCACATCAATATTTCTCTCTGTCTTTCCCTCTCTTCCACTCTTTCTTAAAAAATCAATGGAAAAATATCCTCGGGTGAGGATTAAAAAAAAAATCTGGGGGCTTGCCTGGGGTGGGAATGGCTGGGGGTAGGTGGGAAAAAGAAGACAAATGTAAAACTTTAGACAATAAAAAATAAATCAATGAGCATGTCTGTTCCATTTGTTTTATCTCCCATTAAGCCAAGCAGTAGACTTTGCACATAGTAATTATCTATATATATAAAAGCCTAAACAACTGTCTGACCAGTAGGTATGACGCACAATGACCACCAGGGGGCAGACGCTCCAACCGGTAGCTATGATGTGCACTGACCACCACGGGGCAGATGCTCAACACAGGAGCTGCTGATTTGAGGTGACTTGGCAGCTGCGGTTCTCAGGTGATGTACCCGGAACCAGAGAGGAAGGAACCCGATTCCGAGGTGCATCACCCGAGAACTGCCCTCTCGCAATCTGCAACCCCTGTGAGACCCCTCAGAGGATGTCAGGAGAGACATTTCAGCCCGATCCCCGCAGGCCAGGCCAAGGGACCCCACCGGTGCACAGGTTTCCCTAGCTGCTTTTACGTTACAAATTATGTCAGAATAAACTTCTGTATTTTTAAGGACAGAAATTTACTTTAAATTTAAAGTTGAAAATAGAAGCCAAATAAATACTATTCAGATAACCAAAGTAGTCAAATGTGACCCTGATGGCAGATATATTACAAAGTGCTTTCCACAACTTTCATCTTCCTTGTAAATTAAATTATCCCCATTGTTTAAAGGACCTTCAATTTTTCTCTATCGCCATATTTTAGCATTTGCAATATTAACGCCTTTTCGATTCTCAGTTCTCCCTGCTAAAATAGGAAGCTAAGAAAAATAGATCTTGCTCTCTCTTCCCCTCTGATGGAAATGTTATTGCACGGTGTACTGGGCATAGTGATGGTGGCAGCAGGCAAGCAAAGCAGAGTTGATGTGGGAGTGGTGGTGCTGTATTTTATAAGCTGGATTAAGTTGTCCTTTAATAATCGGTTTTCTCAAAAGTGCAGTGGGAATGGTGCTCTCTACCCTGCCTATCTAAATATAATGAACTTGTTAAGTGAAAAAATATGATATATGTGGAAGCATTTGTGAGCACTTAAAAAAACTATACATACAGAACAGTCATCACTATAACACATAGGATTGTTCAAAAGAATCTATTTGTCTTTACCTGGTAAATTTGTGTGGAAGGATTATTCATCGGCATATGTTCATTCTCTCCTGTAGGGAGAAAGAGCTTTGTTCAGTCAGCGTTACTCATTCTGTCCCTGTCCTCTTTAGACACATGCAGAGAATAAGGGGATTTATAGGACCCTAGATCTGTGCCGGCAGGACAATGTTTCAACAAGAACAAAGCATAAAATTGTATAGGTGACTTTATATTCACATCCTAATGGCCAGACCAGACCTACCTGATAAAACTCCTGTAGTAGAAAACCATGTTGTACTGGAATGAGGATGTTTCTCAACCAAATTGGAATGATTAACAATCACTAATTACCAGAAGTGATTGCCCATGAAGGGTCTCACTTGTGTTCTTGGTGCTGACTACAATTTAACTGAGGGGTTAGTTCTGTAAGTCAAGAAGACTGCTGGTCACCAGGCACCTATCCAGTTGTCCCTCTATTGTTCTTGGGGGCCTGTATAAAATATCCTGACTTTTCCTGCCTTTGATCCTTGCAAAACTTCTGAACTCTGCCTTTTTGTCACTGTCCAGATCAGCTAAGTGAATTTTGCTGTCCTCCTAGGCAAGAGGATAGAAGGGAATTGCCGATGGAAAAGGTCTGGTAAGGATGGAGGCAAAAAGAAAATAGTCTTGGCAACACTAGAGACTGAAACACAAATGATGTAAGTAGGTTATAAAAACCATTTAAAACCTAGGGAGAAAAAATATTGGCCTAAAATACACCTTTCAGAATCACACTGGTTGGCCGTGAAGATGAGGCAATCCATGTGAAACATGCAGCTCCTTGCTCATCCATTTAACTACATCTCCATTGTGTCACATTGTATGAATCAAGCAGTTTATACATGCAACCTCTGGTTGCAAACATTTGGTTATGTGGATGTGTATACTCTTCTCCTAAGACATGCTGGTACAAGAAATCCTTCTTAGAGGAACAGCCATAGTATGTCAGTTCATAAGTAATACATAGCCTCAGCCCAGAACGTAATGCACACAGGGGGCTGTCCCTATAAAATCCAGATGGTTTGAGATTACCCAAACGCCCAAAATATGCCCAAGTAAAGATTCCTTAGCCCATTTTATGTCCCAACAGCCTAGTTTCATGGCAAGAACCAGAACTTGGGAACAGACCAATCTCCCAGATTGAACTTTGACATTTCGTGATTGTAGCCTGAATTCTCTCTATGACTGTTTTCTCATTTGATAACAGAACCTACTTCTATAATGTTGATTCTGTGTGGTAAGATTAAAAGAGAAAGCCTTACATTTTTAGGCTAGCATACAAGGTGTTAGATGTCTATTAGTTGAATGTGTACCTTGGCCTTATTGAGCAGGTTATTCTGAGGCAGTTCTAAATTTATTGCTAAGAAAAATTAGATAACCGCTCAAAAGTATATAAATAGCATTTTCTGTTTCTCCAGCGCCAAGTCTATGCTCTTTGTGGTTATTATGATAAGAAAAAGAGAATAGTAAAATGAACATACTATCATGTTTTGAGAAAACAGAAAGACAAATACTACAACTCATATTTCTTAAATCCCGAGCCCTAAAGCAAGACATATAAAATATCTAACCTTGCTTTGTTTTGGTTTTTTCCATGGTGCCTGTTGCTTCTCTCCTCCAACTTATTCTTCAACATTGCATCTTCATTGTCCCTGGATCAAGCCATCCCCTCTTCCCTGGACCTGTCAATTGAAATCAAGAGTGAGGGATAGCAGGTAGAACTGGTGAAGTAACTGGACTTACTTCATGTGTTAACGTGAAATGAACACAACTATTAGAGGCAACTTGAGGTGAGGTTTATGCAATTTCAGAAGAGTGAAAATACTTAGCATAAAACTTAAAGATAAATCTTTTGTGAATAAGTATGAAATTCATTAGTTAATATTATACTAGTTTTTGATATGGTGCATTCTTGTTTGGATAAAATCAATTAATTTAGACCCATTGATTTTATTAGGAGGTTATAGTTTAGGGAAGTTATCTAAAGAAGAAAAACCTTGAGCAGGTATGAAGGCCAAAACATCTGTTTCTATTTCATTAAACAGTAACTTCCTTGGTGACCTGATCCACACATTCAACATCTCGTAGGCTCCTTTACATCCAGATGCTTCTCAAATGTGGCCTCTTTGTAGTGACCACCAGTCATGAAGCTGCAAGTTCATGAGGTTTGATCAGATGCCTCCCACTATAGAGGCTGAAAGTGCCAGGTTTTTCCAGCCCGCCTTGCAGCTAAGGCGTGATGGACACATGACCTAGGACAGTGATGGCGAACCTTTTGAGCTCAGTGTGTCAGCATTTTGAAAAACCCTAACTTAACTCTGGTGCCGTGTCACATATAGAAATTTTTTGATATTTGCAACCATAGTAAAACAAAGATATATATTTTTGATATTTATTTTATATATTTAAATGCCATTTAACAAAGAAAAATCAACCAAAAAATTGAGTTCGCGTGTCACCTCTGACACGTGTGTCATAGGTTCGCCATCACTGACCTAGGATATTGTCACTCTGATTGACAGTTGCAGGATTTCCTAAGGCACATATACTTGATAGACTTTTTATTTTCTAAAAAATACAAAAAGTTGCTAATACAGTTTAGGTGACTCAATCTGCTGCTTTTGGTGGTTTCCTCACTAGAACAAGTGTACTATATGATTTGGGGCATCGTTGCCTGCCACATAATCCCAAACTTGGTTCATAAGTCTACCAGCCATTTTAAATATCCTTTCAACAAATTCCCTTGCTGCTAAAATCAGCCAGAGTTGTTTTCTGTTGCTTGCAACTAACAAACCTTATTGAAACCATCAGAATATAAAGGGTGTCCCAAAATTCACGCAAGAATTTTGATAGAAAACACAGGCTTATAATTAAAAATTGTAAATTTTTTATTGATCAAGTATACAGTATAGGGTTATGTATGGAATAGCATATTGGATAAATGGATTATCATGTCGCAATAGCAAGTACCATTAACTGTTATTGCCTTAGCAGCCGCATTTTCAAAGAAGAATGGTCCAATGATGCCTCCAGCCCAAAATCCTCACCCAACAGTAACACGTTGTTGATGCATTTGTTTCTCAACAATCACTCGTAGATTTTCTGAACCCCAAATGCGACAAGTTTGTCGATTAACCAAGCCATCAAGATGAAAATGAGCCTCATCGAAATTCAGCCACATTTATGCAAAACAATCATGGAAAATTTCAACAAAAGAGTGCATATGTGCCAGCAAAGCTGTGGAGGCCATTTACCCGATATGCTATTCTATACATAACCCTATACTGTATACTTTATGAATCAATAAAAAATGTATAATTTTTAATTATAAACCTGTGTTTTCTTCTTGCGTGAATTTTGGGACACCCTTTATTAACACTATCCAAGCCCTAGCCGGTTCAGCTCAGTGGATAGAGCATCGGCCTGTGGACTACAGGGTCTCAGGTTCAATTCCGGTCAAGGGCACATGCCCAAGTTGCAGGCTTGATCCCCAGTAAGCAGCCAATCAATGATTCCCTCTCATCATTGATGTTTCTATCTCTCCCTCTCCCTTCCTCCCTGAAATCAATAAAACATTTTTAATGCTATCCAAGACTGAAAAAAAATACAAATTAAAACTTGGTTCACACTCTAGAAAAGATATATCTATAGTGCCAAATGTAGATCAGTAGTTGTGTAGGGCAAGAAGTGGGGTTTAGCTAGGAAAAGATACAGAGAATTTTTTAGGGTGATAGAAATGTTTTACTTAATTATGGTAGTGGTTATATAGATGCATAAATATATCAAATGTACATTTTAATTGAGTGTATTTATCCTATGAAAGTTAATACCACAGAAAGTAGAATTAAAACTTTTCATTCACGTATTGAGTTCTTTAAAGCAAAATAATAAGTTGGCAGGGGCGGGAGGGTACATATAGATGAAAAAGCATTGATCAACAACTCCATAGTTATAGATGAGGGATATAAAGAAAGTCAAGGCTACCCTGGCCGGGTAGCACAGTTGGTTAGAGCAGTGGTCAGCAAACTGTGGCTCGCGAGCCACATATGGCTCTTTGGCCCCTTGAGTGTGGCCATGAAGTTTTAATCGCACTGTACGTGCGCGCCCACACATGGTATTTTGTGGAAGAGCCACACTCAAGGGGCTGCAGTTTGCCGACCACTGGGTTAGAGCATTGTCCTAATACACCAAGGTTGCAAGTTCAATCCCCATCAGGGCACACATAAGAATTAAT